TGGTCTCATTGTGTTCAGCTCGTCAAGACGCATCGAATGATATACATGATGACCTCGAGGTCACGTGACCTGAGGTCAACCTTTGACCTTGACCTTTCGAGGTCAACATATATATCATTCGATGCGGATTGACGAGAGGATCACGATGATGCCCTTAGTTTGTTCCTATCTTGACTAATTCGAAAGTTATTCGAGAAAAACTCTCTCCATATCTAGCGCCGCCATTTTGACTTTTTCGACCCCTGTGACGTCATCTTTGACCTGACCTGTAAATGACCTTAGTAAAAATTGTAGATCTTGACCGTGCGTATCCGATGCCGTTTACCGCTTGTCGCTATCTTGCTTCGTTCTCGAGATCTCAGGGGGGGGCGGTCATCCGCCCCCCCCCCGTCGGTGCGAAGTTGGCGCAGACCCCCGTCGGTGCGCGGGTTAATATAGCATTTAAGAACTGCTTTAGGGAACGCTGTGACTACCGAACATTACCGCCAACTTAGCTGCTTCAGACAGCGGCCCTGTGCAGCTATGTGTTTTGACTCCTCTGTGGCAAAACTGATGTAGTATTCGCCGCTTTGCTTTTGTTTGTTTGTTTGTTTGTTTGTTTGTTTGGTTGGTTGGTTGGTTGGTTGGTTGGAAGGTGGAACGATCAGTGAAAACATGCATTTGCTCGCAGAAGTACTGCATAGATTGACGCTTCACCTGGAGTTCCGCCAGCAGCCTCTTAGCAGCCTCACCGCATTTTTTATTGTTAAATTTTAAATAAGTGAGGTGGTACGATCAGTGAAAAATAAACTTTGCTGGTGCGAACCAACACGACGCACAACACCCACGTTTTCCCTTTCCACTAACACGACCTTATAGCACATATTATTGCTTGTAACGTGAAAATGCAATAATATGTTGTCAACATTGTTTTGCAGGGCACCGGTCAGGTGAGCCAGCGGGTCCGGCTGGCCACGCAGCTCTTTTCGCACACGGTGGGCACCGCCATCAAGGAGCTGCTGCCGCGCCGCCAACCACAGGCCGAGGCTGTCTTGACGGCCAATGCGTGGTTTGACGTTTTGAACAGCCGGAGTCAGTTCGACGCCACAATCGAGCGGTCCGCCTATGGGAGGACTGCTGAAATCAAAGCGGTCCAGGACCGGGCCCTGGACAAGATGACGTCTCTGATCTCCGACACTCGTAAAACGTCTGCAAAGCACCCCAACGGTCATCGGAGCATGCTGCCGTTCCAGCAGGGAATGCTACGAACCACAGTATCTCTCCGTGGGCTGTACGAAGAGCTCCATCGTACTGTGCCCGAGCTGCAGTTTGTCCTGACCAGCCACCTGAACCAAGATTGCTTAGAGAACTGCTTTTCGCAGATCCGGAGCCTGGGTGGAGCGAATACCACGCCCAACGCGGTAGAAGTGCGCTCCCGCCTGAAAGTGCTGCTAATGGCGCCGGCTCCACAGGTGGCTGCTTCCAGCGGTCGAGCAGTACTGCAGCTGGAACCCAGCGACTTAATGTCGACGAGCCGCGCACCGCAGCAGCTCCCGTGCGTCTCCAACGAGGCCCTGGAGGGCCTGCTCATTCAGGTACTTAGACCTACCAGCTGGGGGCACTGCCTGAATTGCTACATGTCTACTATCCTCCACGCCCTTGGAACGTATGAAATTTTGCAAATAGAGGATCATATGATTCTATCTTATTATTAAGCACTGCTTTAAAGTAATATTTTAAGTTTATAGTAGAGATTCTCATTTTATGCATAATCGTGCAGGCATACAAAAAACGGCAATGTCTAGGCATGCAGTGCCAACTGCCAAATATAGCTGATTTGGCATTCGTACTATCATTGCATCCATTTCCAGCTTTGACAGTTCTCAACTTTTCCAGTTTGAAGAGCCGGACCAAGAACTGGCGGCACGTGAGGACAACGAAGCAGAAGGAGCCTACCAGGCAGTAGCCGCTCCTCCATCTTCATCTCACGAAGAGGTCACGCCTCTCCAGTCGGAATCTGCGACAGCTGGAGACGAGCGCCTGGAACGGGAGGCCCTTGCGTTTGTCGCTGGCTTCGTCGCGGCCAAGTGCCGCCACCTGGATGCTGGGCTGGGACAGACTACAGACCAAGCTCCGCCCAGCTCAGTCCCATCCAGCTGGGTCCGCGCCCTCAGCCGGGGTAGGCTCACCGTGCCATCGCCGAACTGGATGACCATCGTGGAAGAGTTCGAGGTCATCTTCCGGTTGATGATGGGTGATACCGTCGACGGTCAGTCCGGTATCGTGCAGAGGCTGCTGGCGGCACTCCAGGTAAAGCGTCCATCTCTGGACGCCAGGATCGCGAGGAAGCTGGTGACGACGCGGGTCCACCTTCGGATCCGCTCACTAAACCAGCGCCAGGACGAAGTCGCAGCCGAGAGACGCGCCGCCAAGCAAGTCCGCCAGCACGTCCGGAGTGGTGAGCTGCATTTATTTCTTTTCGACTTGCTCGACATTTTTATCGCTATCATTCAATCGTCTTCAATCGTCATGGTAATCAAGCCATTGTAACCAGCTCTATGAGTGTAATGTCTGCATTATCTCTCCTATTTTTGTTTTGCACTTGAATGTGTCTATTTATTGCGCCCAGTTCAATTGGACAAATAGTCGAAATCGGAGTTGGCGTTAAACAGGACGGATTGCATGCTATATCTTGACTTTGGTAATCAGTAAAATTCCGGAGAGTCAGAATAGTTGAAGTGTCTACCGACCCTCCTTTCCGCTAGACCAATCGTTTAGTAGTGCTCCCAGCGAGCAGTGTTGTTACGATAAGTGGTGCTCGCGCTAAGATATTGTACAGTCTGTCTTAAAAGTACCGCGCAAAGTGACGGTGGATCCATCAAGCCTGACCGAGGGAGGGCCTGCTTAATTTGAGTCATCGAAGCAATTGATATTCTCGTCCATTCCTCAGGTCAATTGGTTCGGTGACTTTTAAATTAAAGCAGGCCTTTCTTCGGTAAGGCTTGATGGATCCACCGCCACTTTGCGCGGTACTTTTAAGACAGACTGTACACACTAAATTTTGGGGTTTCCCACTTAACATTAGTTTAAGCTCACCGACCGTCGCCATTTCAACAATCACTATTCACTATTAATTCTATCTTTATTTAAACAGCACCTTAATTAGATAGATTTTGTGGCCATTGATACGTCCACGTATTGCAGAGCTCAGGCCACCACTTAGGTAAGAAGGATCATTGATTTCACTTGACTTTGTTTCAGGTAAATCGGCAGGAAGCAGCTGAATCAGGTGGAGAACGCACTGCGTCTGCCGGCGGCGTCCAGTGCCGACATCTTTACCCCGGCATCACTCGCCAGTGTGGAGAGCGCCGTCACTTTCTGTCTTCTGAGGCTGTCAGACAGTTCAGCCGGGCAGCGAGCAGCTCCCGGCGCACCATCACTGGGAGCCAGGCCGGCCTACGCGAGGAGCGGATCACTTGTGCTTACGACTTCGTCCTGGCGCTGGTTTAGTGAGCGGATCCGAAGGTGGACCCGCGTCGTCACCAGCTTCCTCGCGATCCTGGCGTCCAGAGATGGACGCTTTACCTGGAGTGCCGCCAGCAGCCTCTGCACGATACCGGACTGACCGTCGACGGTAGCACCCATCATCAACCGGAAGATGACCTCGAACTCTTCCACGATGGTCATCCAGTTCGGCGATGGCACGGTGAGCCTACCCCGGCTGAGGCGCGGACCCAGGGCGTGATCACGCGAGCTGCCGGCTTGGCCTCTTGCTCCTTGTGCCGACTCGTGGTTGCGTTAACCATTCGTGATTGCGTTGTGCCGACTCGTGGTTGCGTGAACCATTCATGGTTGCGTTAACCATTCGTGATTGCGTTGTGCTGACTCGTGGTTGCGTTAACCATTCGTGGTTGCGTTAACCATTCGTGATTGCGTTGTGCCGACCCGTGGTTGCGTTAACCATTCGTGGTTGCGTTAACCATTCGTGATTGCGTTGTGCCGACTCGTGGTTGCGTTAACCATTCGTGATTGCGTTGTGCCGACTCGTGGTTGCGTTAACCATTCGTGATTGCGTTGTGCCGACTCGTGGTTGCGTTACCCATCGTCTGTGTGCCCGTGTGTGCGGGGACACGGACCACATGTGCTCCCTCACTGGATGGATATTGGATAGACATGCGCGAGCAGTGTTGGGGTCGTTTTGTTTCCTGTCATGGAATACATCTGTTGGTGGTTCTTAATTGGTTCGGTACCTAGGCTTTCGGACGGAGTGAATCAATGCTTTCGTTATTGTGCCCATGTGGCCGAACAAAAACACGATATCATCACCATTCACCATCCAGATACACCCCAGTTGCCCGCATGGCTTTGGCCCCCGGGACCCTAACACCGATAGCCCCGCGATTACGCACAGGAACATAAACCAAAACATAGTCCTTGCAATGCATTCCTCCAGGCTCCATCGCAGTCCTTTGTCTAGCAATTTTCGGAGTACGTATCTGCGGTATCGCGTCCGTAGCAGCCTTGGGAGCTGCTGGTGACTACAGGGGCCTCACGGGTCCCGAGTCATGTGGGCCATAGCACCACAGGGCACCGCATCTTTTTCGAGATAAATGACCGTTATGAAGCATGTCGCATTTTCCTGAGCATGACCTGGCGTTAACATAACTTAAGCGCCTGCCGGCCCTCGCCTGCCTGCGGCTGACAGCTGACGAGTGACGAGCCACCTGGAGATCGCCAACTCAACCCTAATTACGGCGTTGTCCGCTAGGTGGCGGGGTCGTACGATCCAAGTCGGGACAGGGGATTCTCATAATTATTTTGTTATCATATTTTCCCCCTTTTTAAAGTCATTTAAAAGCGCTATTGCACAAGTAATTTTTCGATTAGCAGCGATTCCAGCCGCCGCATCAGGGTCAGGATGGAGCCAGGGAGCGTATGCGCCGGTGACGTCACCGTAGTGTTGCAGATTTGTAACATTAGCGAGCCCGGACGATCTTACCTAACTTATACGGCCTTGGGGAGGTAGTGCGGTGGTGAACCGACAGCGATCGTGAACCACCAGCAGTGCGATAGTACGAGCCGAGTGCAGTGCGTGGTGTGCCGGGCGTGAGCTGGTGCCAGCCCAGAGCCGGCGGCCGGCGCGGAGATGGAGAGCGCGGCGGCCCCGGGCCCGCCGGCCGTTTGAATTTCGACACACACACATCACACAGGCGGCTGGCGGCGCGAGTTGGAGTGCTGTGTCCACTGGTGTGAGGTGTGAGGCTGTCTGTGGTCGGTTGTGGTGGTGGTGGGCCGGTGACTGGCCATCGGACCTCGGTCCAGTGGCGCTGACCTGACCCCGGTCCAGTGGCAGTGGTGGATCGCGGCCAGCCTGTAGTGAAGTGGTGATTGACGAGTGGTGGCTGGCGGGCTGCCGCCAGTGGTCCTCTGACCTGACCCAGCCGGTGGACCGGAGAGGAGCCCCCAGGCGGCCGCCGTCATGTACCCCAACTCGACCAACCCGATGCTGAAGGGATACGTCTCACAGTGAGTACTGTACTGGGCCCGACCCGGCCCGACCCGGCCCGGCCCGCCGTCCAACTGCTGCGCGATGGTCTACCGTGTGTGGGACCGATTCCCTTCTTCTATATCATGATAAAGAGAGTACACGTTCAAGCTTTGTTACATAGAAACAGCCGTCACTTTCCCCACGTGTCGGCACCGTCCACCGACCCGGCGGGTCGGCGGACCGGTCCTTCATTGTGCAACCACCCTGCATATAACGCACAGGCACTGGCGAACCCCATTCAGAATCAGAATTACAGTTGGAATACAAGTCTCGGCCCGCTCAGTCGTCTCTCTCCTTCCGCGCCTTCGCGATAATGGTGGCAGCGGCGGTCGAGGGGACTTGTGCCCCTCACCACGGACCCCAGCCTCTACATCTGCACTGACATCGCAGTCTGGTTAGTCCGTGCTCTGTGACGGTGTATCGCCCCTACGTCACGTCATCGACTAGGGAGCTGACCATCCTGGACTCGTCATCGTCCGACATCACCGTCTCCAGTGAGTAGCTCTGCCCGGCAATACCATCTGCCCTGCGGCAACGTCATCAGCTGCCCTGGACTACTACGGAGCCCGCCGACAGCGCACGGCTCGTCAGCCAGCGCCGTCCCACTCACCGTCATCGAGTGATGGACACCACCTCGCTGAAGGACTCAAGATCGGAGGAGAGAAGAGAAGAAAAAAAATATCAACGCTAAATTCAAGACAAATTGACACCCAAAATCAAGAATATTCACCCATTATGAACTTTTGCTGTATTTTCGTCAAAAAGTGACAGTGAAATTGTGCTGTGAAATTTGTTTTAACTTCGATGTGTTTCAAAAACCGTACTGTTTCATTATCCGTTTTCGTCAGTGTTTTGTCGTTTGTTGCGCTTCATTGTGGTTGCTCACCCCAAAATTTACGGAGAAATTGCAAGTGCATTTAAATTTTGCCTGCACTTTGCCGTGTCATTTTGACACTAGTAAACGTAGAAAGAGCATACTCTGAACGGTATGAACATTCAAATACGTTAATCGTTGTCAATTCACTGAAATTATATTGTATTGATATTCGGCCAGAGATGCCGAGGGCCATGGAGATGCCCAGGGACGGTCCCCGCCAAGAGTGCGGAAGGATCGCCCGGTAGTAGGTGTAATTGTCACGAAACTTACTTATCTGTTCATACCATTTTGTGATACGCTCATATGGAACTTTCTTTCTCCGTCAGCTAAACGTTTCCTCTCTTTGTTATGATCGCTTCGGTTCCCTACGCTTCCCTGGGGGAGGGAAGATAATGTGGGACCGATTCCCTTCTTCTATATCATGATAAAGAGAGTACACGTTCAAGCTTTGTTACATAGAAACAGCCGTCACTTTCCCCACGTGTCGGCACCGTCCACCGACCCGGCGGGTCGGCGGACCGGTCCTTCATTGTGCAACCACCCTGCATATAACGCACAGGCACTGGCGAATCAGAATCAGAACCACCGTTGCAATACAAGTCTCGGCCCGCTCAGTCTTCTCTCATTCCGCGCCTCCGCGACACGTGTGTGTATTGTGTATTGTGTGTGCGTCATAGTCCGGCCTGGCCGGCCTGGGGTTGATAGATTTGAATAATGCCGAGTACTCTAGTGACCTCCTGCCAGCAGGCTCATTTTTGTTGTCCCCGCGGCCCGCTCCCACCGAGTCTGGCTCTCTGGGCGGCTCAGCCGTCTCAGTCTCGGTAGCTGATCCTGTTGTCGCCTGCCGCCGTCCGCCTGCCGTCGCGCCGTGTCGGCTAGACTCCCTGTCTCCTGGTGCGCTCCATGTCGGCTAAACTCCGTGTCTCCTGGTGCGCGCCGTGTCGGTTAGACTCCCTGTCTCCTGGTGCACGCCGTGTGGGTTAGACTCCACTCCGTGTCTCCTGGTGCGCGCCGTGTCGGCCAGGCTCCGTGTCTCCTGGCGCCCCCCCCCCTCCTGTCGCCGCCGGGAGGGGGGGGGGGACCCAGTGCTGGCGGCCGGCTGGACGCTGACGGGTGACCATCATGCTCCGGCCCGGGAAAGTCCTCGCCACGCGTCCCTGTCGGGTCTGGGTCTGGGTGCCTGTCAGACCACAGACCAGACCAGGAGCTGAATGGGCGCCGGTCGGGTCTGGGTGCCTATCAGACCAGACCAGGAGCTGAATGGGCGCCAGTACACTGAGCACAGGTAACAGTGCTCATTGTACCGTGTGCTTGAGTATCTCCCAAACCCCTGATACACGGCAGTTGGGACCTATATATGTTCTCGCTTTTCTAACCTAACTCAAGTAATCCCAGGGGGCAGGCTCTGACCGTGCGCCTGGCTGGACCGAACAGGGGCGGTACGGAACAGGGGCGGTAGGTACGAAACAGGGGCGGTAGGTACGAAACAGGGGCGGTACGGATCAGGGGCGGTAGGTACGGAACAGGGGGGGGGGGGGGTAGGTGCGGAACAGGGGCGGTAGGTAGGGAACAGGGGCGGCACGGGCGCAGGGGTGGGGCGGCAGCAGGGGCGGCACGGGTGCAGGGGCGGGGCGGCTGCAGGGGCGGCACAAGCAGGGGTGGGGCGGCAGCAGGGGCGCCTGACGAGCCTACAACGGGCCGCCACCGCTCGCTGGGTCGGCGATACCGGCGGGTTAGTTCATCAGATTAATTGCCGGCTCCTTTATGCAAATGGCCTGCTCATTAGTACGTGGGTGGCCTGTGCGCCGGTGAAAGGATTGGCCCGGGCGCGGGCGCACCTGCGGACTGCCGACCTGCAGTCACCGCGCCGGGCAGCCCTGCGACCGGCGCCATCGCCAGCCATCGGACCAGAGCGGCAACGCGAGGCCGTCACTTTACAGAGCAGCCCGCCGCTCTACTTACTGTAGCTTCCTGCGCGGACGGACACCCTTCAGAACGAAACCCTGTCCGCCCAGCGTTGGTTATGGTCTCTGAGCGGAAGGTGCCGGGAGTGCAGGGACCACTCTCATGTCTGCGCCACTCGCTAAAGCCGACGTAACTCGCAAACCTGCCGAGAGCTGGCTCTGGACGCGGCTGCTGGCGCCCACAGCTGGCGGCACAGGGGGACCGCGAGGCCGTCTGAGGCGGCGCTGTGACCCGCGCTGGAGTCGGCCGCTGCGCTGACGGCCGTCACGACCGACCCCGTGTCCCGGCGCGCCCGTCGGCGGCGGCGACCGTCGGCCGTTGACCTGCGCCGCTCGCCGGTCGTCGCGCCGCCGCGGGATCCTTTGTGTCGGTGACTCGGTGCGTCGCGAGAGAGAGGAGGCGAGGAGTCGTCAGAGCGGGCTCCGGGAGGCGGGGCGCCGCCTCCAGGCGCTACACTGGCGGCCGCGGCGCGCGGCACCCACGGGGCCCGTCCGGTCGGTCCGTCGCCACTGATCGGGCTGTCCATTCGATTCGGGAGTGACTGATCTCGCCGCTCGCCCGATGGCCTGGGTGCCGTCTCCGCCGCTGGTGACGGAGCGGTCAGCAGACTCCCGGCAGCGGGAATCAGCAGACTCCCGGCAGCGGGAATCAGCAGACTCCCGGCAGCGGGAATCAGCGGACTCCGGCAGCGGGAATCAGCAGACTCCGGCAGCGGACAGCGGACTCCCGGCAGCGGGAATCAGCGGACTCCGGCAGCGGGAATCAGCGGACTCCCGGCAGCGGGAATCAGCGGACTCCCGGCAGCGGGAATCAGCGGACTCCGGCAGCGGGAATCAGCAGACTCCGGCAGCGGACAGCGGACGGCAGACTGTGCTCACGGGTCCCAGCGACCTCACGGTCAGATGACCTGCCGTCTGACCAGACCCGGTCAGGTGAGCTGCCGTCTGAACTGACCCGGTCAGGTGAGCTGCCGTCTGAACTGACCCGGTCAGGTGACCTGCCGTCTGAACTGACCCGGTCAGGTGAGATGCCGTCTGAACTGACCCGGTCAGGTGAGCTGCCGTCTGAACTGACCCGGTTAGGTGAGCTGCTGTCTCCCCTGGCCCGGTCAACTGACCGCGCTGGCGCCGTGGACGTGGTGTGCCGGTTTTTCAGCCGATAGGGCGTGAGGACCGCGCCGGGCTGCCGCTGACTGGGTCAGCTGAGCTGGGTGTTTACGCCCGGGTACGGAGGGTAGCAGATACGGATCGGCCGACTCCGCGCGGCTACTGGATGTCGCCGCGGCGCCGACCAGGGCTCCGCCGGCGGACCGGGCGGCGGCGCACCGTGCCGCGGCGGCCCCTGTGCCGCGGGCGGCCCCTGTGCCGCGGGCGGCCTGTGCCGCGGGCGGCCCTGTGCCGCGGTCTGCCCTGTGCCGCGGGTAGCTACTGTGCCGCGGGCGGCCCTGTGCCGCGGTCTGCCCCCGTGCCGCGGGTGGCCCTGTGCCGTGCACTCTTCCTGACACCACTGATGTCGCTCAGGGGCCAGTTCTGGTGCGATCTCGCGTAGTCAGGCTAGCGTTTAGATTGTGGTTAAGTGGTGTTACAATTGCCACCCTTCTGAAGCAGAGACACGGGCATCTGAGCGCAGTGGAGGCTGTTCGGCTGCGGCGGCGATGGGATGAGGGCGGGGGAGGGGGGGGGGGGTCGGTCAGCGAACAATGACTGCAGCTGACTGACTGCTTCCTCCACACTCGGCGTCCCAGCAGCGACCAAACAGTCTCAGTGTTGAGTGTTCAGTGTGGTTGATTGTATTGCATCCAATTAGTTTTGAAAAGACACGCGAAGTGGTAACTCATTAATTGATCAAACGGACGGCGTGACCTGAAGCCTTTGTCCGTTCAAGGTATGAGCCTCTGTCCGTTCAAGGTATGAGCCTCTGTCCGTTCAAGGTATGAGCCTTTGTCCGTTCAAGGTATGAGCCTCTGTCCGTTCAAGGTATGAGCCTCTGTCCGTTCAAGGTATGAGCCTTTGTCCGTTCAAGGTATGAGCCTTTGTCCGTTCAAGGTATGAGCCTTTGTCCGTTCAAGGTATGAGCCTCTGTCCGTTCAAGGTATGAGCCTCTGTCCGTTCAAGGTATGAGCCTCTGTCCGTTCAA